TGACCATATTTTTTGCTTCTTTGTAGCAAGCATCACATCAAACAGAGATCCGCAGCAATTCCTGCACGTCTGTGATTTAGAATTGGTCTGCCCTTCCTTGAAATATTCATGAAAGAAATCTGTTCTGTTTTTTATTTTAAATGATTTTGCATTGATACTTGCATTTTGTTTTAACAATGTCTCTACGATTTTTTTGGTTTCAATATCAACTGGGTTTAAATCAGCTAAGTGCCTGTTTGTGCAATGCATATCGACATTAGGCCCCAAAATACAATAATCCATTCATATTGTGACACAACACTTCAATTATAACAGTTCTGAAGGCGTTGTAATGCTGTAAAAAAGCCCGTAGTGCTTCCTGGACTCCAGACAGTCGGGAATGAGACATAAAACAAGACACTACAAGACGTGCCACATAACAGGGTACTCTGCGGAGACTCCATTCCAGCAACCGGCCTGCGAAGGCGGTCCCCTGTCAGCCCTCCTGGGGGCGCTCAAAAAGATGACAGGAGGAGTGCCATCTCGCTGGAGCTGATGACAAACTCACACCACTGGAGGCAATGTCTTTACTTCAGCGAAGGGACAGCCCTGGTGCCACCTAGTACAGATCCCAAACCCTGCAGGTTCCCCAGACCCAAAGTCTCTGATACTTTTTTTTTTTACAGACTTTACCATCTCCAGAAACTGGAGAATGGAGGAAGGATATTATGCAATTTTTATGGAAAATAGAAAGCCATTATGTCAGTTTATATAGATGAACAACTAGAATTGAAGGGGGGTACTGAACACAAAGACACAGGACTTAACTGACCCAAGGATCTAATCCAGTCGTTTCTTGAATATGGCCAGGTTGTTGGCAGCAGTAAAAAGGAAGGGTAGTTTGTTCTAGACCCCACAACCCTTTCACAGAAGGATGGCAGTGATTCAAGCAAACCTACATTATCAACTGTAACATAATCCTATGAAAATCGGGATTTACAGGGAAAAGGACAGAGGTTATCATGGGAGATGTCCATTTTCCTGATACCTGTGGGGAAATACAATGTAAAATGACAGCACACCCCAGCCGACCTGACAGAGCTGAAGTAAATGTGCAAAGAAGTACTGTACATTTTTTTTAAAGTTTTTTTTCAGCTTGGCGTTTTTACTGATTTCCTTAACCGATTATAGTGTTCAGTTTTTAAGCATTCACGATTTGATGAAAGATATTCACATTTAAAAATAATTGTACACATTTTCTTGGACTTTCTGGGACATCATTTTGGTAGGTGATATTAGTGGACTTATATTAGTGGTAGGCGGCAATTTTCCCTCTGGACCAGAACTCGCAACCCCGTGCCCCAGCACTGTAGAAAGCTCTATCCTTTGAATGAGGAAAGTGAGATCCTGACTACTTGGTCAATGAAGATCCAATGGCATCAATGACAAGGGTAAGAGTCTCAACCCTAGTGTCAAGGCTAAACTGTACTCTGGACTTGCACAATTTGGCATCCCTACAGTTCCAGTTTAATTGAACTGGTGTAGCAGATTCTTAGCTCTCCCCCTGATCTACTGTGCAGTGTGGCTACTGGGGCAAAATGGCTGTCACATGTCACCCTGTTAGGTACAGTGCTAAAATAAATCCTCTCCTATTTGTGAAATCTTCTGGGAAGTTTGAGGATGAAGAGTTACAGCAGTTCAAGCAATTATTACAACAATGTATTTAACCGCAAGAAATTAAAACTGGAAACCATTTTATATTTTGTCATGTGAGTGTACAGTATGTATAAAACACTAACATGTCAAAACAGAATAATTTACAAAAGGCTTTCAGTGAAAACGACTAATTCGTGGTTCAAAAGTGTGAGACTGAAGAGACAAATCACAATTAAAGTGACTTTTTATTAACTAATGATGGCTAATGCATTTGACTGACACTTCTATGCAAAGCAACTTACATTTGCGCCCACTTAAACAACCGAGCATTTTACTGGAGTGATCTGAGAGAAACACCTTGCTAGAGAAGCACGGCAGTGCATCACCTGAAATTTAAACCCATAAAATTTCAGTTACAGTTACAAGCCCAGAGCCCTAACCCTGCTCCACACTGCTAGAGAAAAGTTGGATTATTAACTAGTCACCATGTGAGTTTTCTCTTAATGTGACTTTATATGGGCACGCTACTGCTAAGTAATTTAAAGCAAATTGATTCTAGAGTATCTGTGAGTAGTCTCAGCACATCTCAATACCTGTCGGAACTATTATCTGCTGTGTCAGAAGAGCTGCAAGGATACTGTAACACAGACAGAGAAATGGAACTGCTGGCAGGGGCTCCAAAGTTCATTTCACTAATACACTGTCAGCCACATTGAGTAAAACAGCAAAGCCGTTTTGAAAAGTATGTAAATTTCCTGCCTCTTCGGGGACTTTTTAAGGTTTTTGTCAATATGAATAATATTACTACTGAGTCTCAGTCATTTCTAAAGTTTGACATAAGCTTTCTTTTTGAAAGTGTAGGAAACATATGTGCACTTAATTCCAATACTTAAACATGAAACACTGGTCAGTGTTTGCTGATCAAATCAACATCAATAAATTACCCAAAAACTCTGTCTCAACATGTAAACTAGAATTGATATATATACAGACATATAACCAGTTGAGTCTCTGAAATGAATGCATTTAACTGAAGCATAACACGAAATCAATATGTCCGGATTTTAAAATACAAAATCATTTATATAACAACAAACTTTACATAAAAACAATCAGTATAATTTCATTGTTTTATGACTTGTAACAACTAATTATGCATCACTTTTACACTTCCTTTAAAACATATTTAATATGCTTTACACCACTGTCAACTGAAAAGGCTGTTAAGTTCAAGGCTGATCAGTACTGTCAAGGCACATAGGTTTTTTAATGAAAGGGACAAATAAAAACATACTTCAAAGCAAAAAAACATTAAAAATCACCTCACATTTTTGCCTTTGGTCTTTCTGAGCATTTTTTCAAGGACTGGACAAACTAGAGCATTTTAAAAAAGACCGCAGGCATGTTGAATGATTGTCAGCCATGCAAATAATCACTTACTTACACTCTATGAGTTTGCTTTGGATAAGGCAAATTACCATTTGAAAATGAGCTGAAAAACACTCTGGGCAAGAAGCTTGCATCATGAATCTCAGCTCTTTTGCAGCAATTTTTTTTCTCTCGTACACACAGTCAAATCTCCTGCATCTCTCTGAAATCAGCTCTAAAGATATTTTAATAGTGTCTGATGGCCAGCTAGAGCTGGAAATTTTCACAAGAGGAAGTGTGCATTTTTTCAATGCTTAATAAATATTCAGTTCACTAGAACCAGACAAATGCTCATAAAACATGATGCACTTCACCCTTAATCTAACACTCCACTCCTTTCACTTGCAACAGCGTTTTGTTGACTATCACAACATTGAGTCACATTCAATTTCCAATATTATTTTTTCCTCCAGAGGTTTAGGAACAAATATCATCAATGAGTACGGAACCGCACACTGCACATACATCAGTGCAACAGAGATGCATTTGCCAACATAAAAATTCAAGCAGATTCTCAAATCAAGTCACAGTCTGCCACTAACTGGAAAAGCTATAAAACAAAATACTTATGACACTGTTACCGTAGGCAAAGTTTTCTGTGCTCTCATGTTTCAGGGACAACCCTTCCTCTGGGACTGAGCTTCAATAATTACTTATTACTGCCTTTAGTGTTTGCTTAGAAAAATATTTAGACTTAAGCATACAGTATTGATAATTTTCTTCCTTATACAGAACAACTTACTTGACTATGCCACACAAAACAGATTTCAAAAATAGTCTGCACCCTTAATGCTCAGGTTTTCAGCCTCAGTTCCATTTTCCTCCACCACACACATGGAAAGAGTTAATACTTAAAGAAACACTTAAACACAGTTAAAAATAACAAACAACAGTATGTTACATGGCGGCATTTAGTTTTCTTTGGCCATATACAGTAGTCTTTTTCCCCATATAGGTATATTGTTTTAATTATTTCAGGATTCTGTTTTTCCATGTGTATTTTATCGAGACGCACTCCTTCTGTAGTTCATAAAAACAATTAAAAGAAAATTAAAGACATGAATGTGAGTATTTCTAGGGTGGTGTATTTCAGGTCATTTTCAAAAGGAAATGACCAGCTCAGTTTGTACATTTAGAAAATCTAAGGTAATTTCTTACTCTTTTACTCTTTCCTAATTTAAAAATTTCAGCAGTCTACCATAAACTAAAAAAGAGGATTTATTTTAGATATTCTCCAATTAACATCTGTAAAAAGGTCAGATTCATTACACTGCTCAACCAAACTTTGTTTTGGAAGAGTTGTCTTGTTTGTGACCTTGATGCACTATAAAGGAGAGGAACTGAGTTGGATAACACATAAGAACTTACAAGAATGGTATTTTGGGGTTTGTATCTGAAGACTCAATTTCCCACAAACTATACTACACTCATTATAGTTACATTCTTATTCACATTAAATTATTTTATTTTAATTTCTGTTGGGAAACAAAACCAAAGCCAAAGTCTGTATTGGATGTTTGTTGCCAAATTATTTAAGTATAAAAAAGCACTTCGCAGACACATTGTTACATTGGGAGGTGCAAAGGATAGCTACAGTATACTTTACCACTGCATTATCATCAAACAGATCAAATAATTCTGTATATTTAAAAAAAACAATAAGTGAAACACTGTTAAATTAACACAGGCAGTATAATTTAATAACACTGCGCAATAATACTGGCTTGACTGTTACAAGTGATAAACATCTGTACTGAACTTGAAAGTGTTTTATGTTTCGTCTCTTTCTCATGCAACGTCTCTTAGATTGCTGTTTACTGTATACCTAAACTTTACCAGCTTGCAGGGATGGATTAAAAAACAAATACTCTGCTTTTTAATCAACGTGTGGTTATCCCTGGAAAGAAAATTACTGCTGCTAAGATGAAAAGACCAACCTTCTGACATCAGGAAATTTGATAGGAAAGTAGAGCACTTGGCACTTGGGTCTGATGAGCTTTTCCAAATCTTTGGGTCTGTGGTCTGGAATCAGCTTCATGAAGGTAGGAATAGAAGTGAGGAAAGACTCCATGTTGAAAGCAGAGTTAAACACGACCACATCTGCCACCAAGCTGCACAATCAGACAAAGGTATTAGATTAGCAGACACCCAATATAAAGCACGCAGATAAATTGCACATATCCAGTTAAAGTGTGTAGATATGCTGTAAATCCAGCTGTGTATTTTTAGATTTACTGTAATATATTAGTTCACATACATATATTCCGTCCCCGGATAATTTGAATTAAATTCTGTTGTCGAAGATACCAGCAGAGGCATATCACATTTCCTTTACGAGAACACTGAAAAATGTGCCTTTTAAAGGAAGCTTTTCTCATAAATGGATCAAAATTGTCTTGTAGACATTTTCCAAAACCTTTGGTTTGACATCTTTATTTACTTTTTAGTTGTTGTGTCATATAATACTTAAGACTACGGATCACTTTTCCACAAACCCTTAAGATCTACAGATCCTCAAAATATTTATGATGGTTATTCTGCGTTCCTATACCACTTTAGTTTGATTCATGCTGGAATACCACTATCAGAGAGATGTTTCTTACTGTAAGTCTCTGCCTATTTTAAACAGGACTAAACTTTACAAAACATGAACAGCAAGGTAAAAAAAAAATGTCTGCATCACAAAAATAAGGTTCCTCATCCATCCTCATGATCCTGAAATTTACAGAGCCTGTGGATGAATTCAGATCTTGGGGATATATGAAGTCTGTAGCCACGATTCAGAGGTTGGTAAATAGTAAGCCACCAAACTAATACTAGTTCGATTAAATGGCAAGGATACAAACAGCAGGGGTTCCTGAGAAAAGAAGATCCTCTTCCCAGTCACAGAAGAATGATGACTAGACTGCACCATTATTACTAACAGCTTTTTTTCTTTTAAGAAGACAGAATATGCTGTTTATGAAAGATATGTATATCCAGGAAAACTATGCTTAAAAGATAAGTAACATATTTTCATAATGATGTGGGATGTTTTAATAATCAATCAATCGACACTGCCCTATATTCTATTTTCAATTACAGCGCCGTTGGAAAACCTCAGATACAGAAATGTTTTGAGAACATTGAGGTTATTTATGGATGAAAAAGGCAAATGCACCCTATGCTTCTCTCATAAATATATTAGAAATATGAGTGTTCATTATCAGCGCATTTTCATTCCAACAAAAGTCACTGCAATCACCCAAAAAGTCTTAAAGATTACAAAGTGCCATTCTACTTAATATAGACACACAAAAGTGTTACATAGGAAACAACTATCACCTGCTCATACACATTTCAGTGTTGCACTAATTAACTCATTTCAATGTTAAAAAATATCAAATATGTTTATGCGTTTCATTTTTTAAAATACACGTGACTGAAGTTCCATTTTTTCCTACTGTATGTCTTTTGGAGTTCTGACTTCCACTGGGAGAGATTAGGACTGAGCTTCAGAGATCTCTGCTGGGTTAACCACAGTCAGTGCCAACTCCTGCACCAGTGGGTGCCCTCTAGTAGAAGTCTGTCTGGCACAGCTCTCCCTTTCCCCATGGGGCATCTGCACACCTCATTAGCAACAAAGTGACCCTTGGCTATGCATGTGCAAGATCTAGAGTCCTGATAGATAACAAGCGTAAATTCAAATCTCAGCTCGGCTGAGATGCACACACAGCTCCGGCGCTTGCTTATCTTTTAATGCTCTAAAAATAACATGATTGACAAAACCGTAGTGAAATTTGAATTCAAATGGCTTTCCAGCACAAGCTTCTCAATTAATAAGTTGTTCTGAAAAGAGAGAAATATTGAAAAGGTCACGAAAAATAGCTCTTTTTTTTTCAGAAAACACTTTGAAAAGATATATTTTTAAAACTCTGTTTCTTGCTCACATTTTAAATTTGTAACATAAGCAAAACCCAAAACCTACTATTAAAGTTGTATTTATACAAAACAACCTCAAGTTTTAATTCATGAAATTCAGAAGCCCAGCTCGAGTACGAAAGGACGAGCAGCAGCAGTGCCTTCATTACCAAACAGAGATTTTCCCCCTGACCCTGACACTGGAATCGGCATGTCTCACGCAGATGATTCCCTCCAGTCTGTGGGAACAATAACACTCCTGTGTGCTTCCTTGTAATTTCAAGATATGAAGATCAGCATCTGCACAGCCTCGACCTGAGCCAGAGCTCTCCAGCTTGTATGACGTGATACAGATAGCATGTGATAAGCACCTAAGTATTCAATCTTTTTATTATTAAAGTTATCATGAAGAATTTCTGGATAGGGATTACAAGTATTTTGCTAAAGTATTCTGGTATTTGAAAATTTGATGGCAGGACACAAATCAGCCAGGTCATCAGCTTCTATTACTAAAGTAAGTCTAGGTTTTGTTAAAATTGTGTAAGAATCAGGTTAAAAATAAAAGGTCAGTCTGGATATTTTACCATGAGAGAACCTGGTTGTATCCATATTGAAAGTCTCTCTCTTGGCTCTTCCGGACTGGATATACCAGCTGATTCTCGTGGAAGTACAGGACTTTTTTCAGCCCAGCCAGGTCAGGCCGGAGGGCAGTTAGCTCAGCCAGGTTCAGGACTGAGCTGGTCAGGAGCACCCTGAAGAACAGAAGAGAGTGGTGTGAAGGTTCAGCCTGAAAGCTCAACAACGCTTTTGTAGCTCTCGGACCAGGCCACTGCAGCTAAAAGGTTTGAGCTCATAAAGACTGGCACTAAAAGCTCCAAGTTGAATTTTTACATCTCTTTATTTAAATTTTCTGGGATCTCTCTCAGAGGTTGGTAATAGTAACACAGTAGCAGACAAAGACTGAGTGTTTTTATTTTTGCACAAAGAAGAAGACAATATCTGAAGGCCAAAGCTGACAAAGGAATTATTTTCTCTTTAATTAGTATGTCATTTCCTTGAAGAGGACAACCACATTAATTTCTATAATGCCTGACTTAGGTAAGCCTCTTAAGACACTAAAGCTTTTCAGGAACAAAGAAAAAAATCTCCAACCCTAAAACTCCTAAAAGGAGTTAAAGTATTTTTAACATTTTCAGTAATAAAACTCTGAAAACAAAAACGATATGCCATAAGTACAAATATGCATAGATATAAATATATCTAGTGTACTCTACAAAAAATATATATAAAAGTGAAAGGGTATCATTATCTTGCACTGGTTGAAATCAAATCCAGCACTGTAGTTTCTCAGCTGTAGAAAACAAATTTCCTGAAGACTTTCAGAGACCTGTGTTTAACGAGTTCTGATGGGTTTATTGAAGAGTTTGAGCATGGGTATTTACATTCCGAGATACACAAGACATAATTTGCACTTGCAAGCACATTTGTTAGCAAGCTGTGAGAGAGGGCAGAGACGAACCATGATAACTATCTTCCCGTCCCTTTGGGGACTGTCCCTCTGGGGCCAAACTGGCAAAAATTAGCAGGGCACCGTGAGGAAAAAGTGCCCTGCAGCCGCCTGCACCGCATGTTCTGAGGATTGAGTCCCCGCTGTTGACAGTGTTATAACAATTTATTAATTCACTTAAAAATGCGTGCATGATGGAGAGTTTACTTTTTTCATCTTTGAAAACATGCTAAAACGTTTTATAACTGAGTGCTAGCATTCTGTCTCTATTTCCAGTAACACAGACATGGGATGTGCAGTGTGGCTTTACAATAAGCAAAATACTAGAACAGGAAAATTATGAGCAAATCCTGTGTGAGTGTTACCCAACTCAAGCACAACAACCAAATCACATAACATGAAGAAACTTTAAGAAAAAACTAAAAAATACAGATATTTTAAAATTGAACCAATGAAATTATCCATAAAATCGTACATTCACTGATCTTTAAAATGCTGAATTTATCAAGAAAACATATAAAAAATAAAACATTACAGATCATTAAGCATTTTTTTACTTTTGAAAATAACCTTTTTATTTTGAAAATACTGTATGCAGACAGACAACCAGTCTTAATTTTCCCAAATCGCCAAAACGGGGGCTTATGTTCGTGTCTTCTTGACCTGGGCTGCTTTAGTCAGGGTGCTCTGTGTCCTCCGCTCTTCCCTCCTGGAAAGCACCTACACATCGTATGGAAGAAATCAGTAGTGCTGGTGTGCGGAATGGCCACCTCTTCCCAGCGAGGCAAACGCACATGAGGAGAGCCACACATCAGGTTTGCCAAGTTGCCTTTGCGAGGCATATCACAACGGGCTGCCAGTTTGATGAGTAGCCAGACCACGGCAGAGCTGAGCTCCTCTGACTCCTTCAAGTTCCACGCTGCTCAGCTGGGCCCCCCTGTAACTTTTTCCCTGACACAGTACATCACGACTTTTTAAGAATGGTTTCTACCTGGCTCTACCTGCGGTCCCCTGGGCAAAAACACAGCTACGATTTCATGGCCCTAGGTCGGTGCTTCAGAAAACCTGTTTTCTGAGGCTCTCTAATACAGGTTCTGTATCAAGCATCAATCTCCTGGATGTGACACATTAGCAAAGCAATTGGAGGAGTCACAGAGCACTAAGCAGAGTCACGGTTTTGTGTGGTTTCAGAGCAAACTTTTACTATTAAATTTGAAAGGGCGCGTTTATGACTGGGAAGAGAGCGGTGCAACATAATATAGAAAGCATTGTGAAAGCATACACAATTTGGATTGTAGTTTTAAATTTGCAAGCAACTGGAGAAATAAAAGTATTGCCCCCCATCAAGATGGAGTCTAACGCATTATGCTCAAGATTAAAACTTTCTGTAAATCTGCAAATCTGTGGTTTCTTACAGTCTCCCAGATGTATGGAATTAACAGATTTGCAAACAAGAGTCAAGACTTTAAATACAATTATAATATCTACTTAAACACAGAAAATAAATCATGTTTTCATAAACTACCCTCTTGGGAAAACCATGTCCTTCAGTGTGTGATTCTCCTCTTAATTTCTAAGGAAGCATGTTGCTCTGCAATGTGTTTTTCAAACTCGTATGGGATTTATCAGGTGTTTGGTTAAGGGAATTTTTTTAGACTACGGCTCTGAGCTATTTGCTTTAGGAAGCACTACAACTTTTTTTTACATCAATGGCTTACCTGAGAGAGGTTTGTAAATTATAAACAGATAGTTGATATTCCCATAGCATGGATTTAACCCTTTTTGGTCCTTAAAAAACACTGAACAAGAAATGCTGTATTTTAAGTGGCGAGACATGAATATCAGACTCATCATGATTCCTATGTACTTGATATAGAACTATAACACAAATTTTGACCTTCAACAAAATGAAAGGTCCTGTTTCTGTAGCAGAGTACACCTAAGAAACTTCCCTTCCTTAAAAAGTCCCATTTGAATAGAATTTTTTTCAACACTTAAATCTTTAATTGTATCTTTCTAAAAACACTGTTTTCAATATTCCCTTAACTTCATATTAGGCCTAAAAACACTATCTAAGACCTACTTTATTCACACCAGGGTTTCACAATTAAAAGAGAAATATTTATGTACTTCTATAGTATAAACAGGTTTCACTCTTTAATGCTAACATAAAAGCTACTCATCTAGGCAATGTGAAATATAGGAGCACTATGAATATTCTGCATTAAATAAGGAGCTCTGTGGGAAAAAGCAAAAAATGTAAATGTTCAGAAAACTTTTCAGAAGTCTTTCAAGGGAAATACTATGTTTTAAAAATCTTGAAAAAGTCCTGTAATGGAATAAGCGCTCTGACATACTGTACCTATGTCACTTGAGAACTTCCACATTGGGGGGCTTAACAGCTTTGAACAGGGTCATGCTAAGCAGCCCAAAACACACTGCATAAAAAAACATACCATATTTTTACCTACATTTAAAAAAGACTGGCCTGATTTACAGCATACTGTTGAATAAATGAAAAAATATGTAATATGTAAAAATGCATCGGAAATTCTAGCAGAGAGCTAGAAGAGAATTTGAGGAGTCTCCCTGAGGAACACAGCACCATTCTGCCTCTTGAAAATCAGTGAAAATCTCACTTAAGGACAAGGATGGATTTCACCAATAATTTATGTCAATCTATAAGACAATGCAGCCTACTCTTTGAAATGAAAGCTACATGTATTCATATTCATTCAATGATGAGCAAGCACCACTTTTTTGTAAAATTACTGCCCAGTAAACTTTTTTCTTTCTAGCCTGATACAGATTAAACCTCAGCAATTCTGTACCCCCAGTTCCACAGCTGGGTAGACTGGAGCAACTGGGGTAAATGACCTCACTGCAGCGGGGACTGGAACCCACAGCCCACCAGTCAACTACAAAATTTTAATGCATAATTAAAAAAGCCCAAAGAAATTCAAAGGGAAGTTTGATGCCAATACCTTGTGAAAAATCTAACATTTAGCTCATGACCATAAACATTTTATTTAACTTTAAAACGAGTGATCTATAATTCAGATTTGTGACAGGCAAAACAAACAAAAATCTAAAACTATCATCACCCGTACCATATTCTCTGTATGTAATATTCCCTTATGTCTTAAGTACGTATTCAGTTACAGCATGTAAAAAAAAACCAACATTTGCAGTTGGTCCCTATGAAGGCCTCGCTGAAATCAATCTCTCAATGAGGCAGAATGGTTCAGGCTCTGTCTGGCATTCATTTAACACAAGGCCCTCTGAGCTCTGGGGGAAACACTGATGGGCAACTGACACTGAAACTGAGGAACTGACACAACAAAGTAAAAGGATTCCCAAAACTTCTGGTGATTTCCATGAACTTTAATTAAAACTTTACAACCTTGTTTGCATGTAACATACACACATTGGACTTTTTGAATGACAATCAATTATCAGGTAATAATAACTCCTTAGTTAACTCTATGAGGAATAAATCCCTTAATGGAACATCCACTAGTTAACAAGCTTAACTGTGTCTTAAAACTGTGGTCAGTATTTAACACTTTAAATAGATACTAATTATTTCTTTCATAAGGTTTTAGATTTGTCTGCTCTTGTGCAACACAATGATAAAACATTTTCTTTTTAAACATTATCATTACAAGTACATTAAATGAGCATTAATGAATGAGAGGCTGGAAGTTTATTAACACTTGTACCCACTAGTAAAGGTTCCGGGCATCAGGCAAAGCTGATTAAGCATTCCTATCAAGTCAAAAATTATGATAAAGTCCCTCTACAGAGTTAATTATTGCATTTTCATTAGGGTCTTTTGTAGCTGTATTTGTTGTTTGTTAGTTTAATAATATGGAACACTGAGTTTGGATTGACAAGGATTTACTGGGGATTTTGTACTGAGTAACAGCCAATCACATTCTGCATTTCTGATGGCCAATTGGAAAGCAGTACTGAAGACAGCTATCAGACTTAAATCACGATATTCTGAAAAAAGAAATAAAAATATAAATATCTTCACTGCACAAGTGATGGGCATGGTGTATATCATAATGCTATGTAAATCAGCCTATGAAATGCTGATGAACTTCTGTGTCACAGAGGATGAAAATGAAGACTTAAAAGCTACAATACTGCTATGATAATTGAGTGTTTTCATGTTCTATTAATAGAGGTATTTGAAGGACAAAATTAATATAAATTGTGTGGAAAATCTTTACTTTTTTC